TTTTTTTTTTTTTTAGATGTGAGAGATTCATTTTATCGCTTTATTGTTGCAGCTGTAATGGACAAGCAACGATATGAGGCGGGCGGCTTCTGTGACGTGTGTAAGATGGCAGTGCGTTATGTGGACGGGATCCTAGAGCAGAACGCCACTCAGGCAGAGATCGAGGATGCTGTGATGAAGGTCTGCAACTTCTTGCCTGATGCTGTCAGAGACGAGGTAGGTCACGCTTACAGTAAACAGACACCCATACTTCATTCTTTTAATACGTCCAACAACAGAACAAATGCAAAAAGATTGTCTGCAAACTTTCTACTGTGCTGTTGTCCAGCAACATGCAGTGTGAGATTTTGATTTGCTATGAATTTGGGTTGCATTATTGTGCATTTAGGAACAAAACATGCATCAGCCATTTTCCCATTCTTGTAATGAGACAAAAGAGAAGCTTTAAAGGATTAGTTCACCCAAAAATGAAAATTAGGCTGTGTTTTACTCACCCCCGAGGCATCCTAGGTGTATATGACTTTCTTCTTTCAGACGAATCCAGTCGGAGTTATATAAAAAATGGTCTTTGATCTTTCAAGCTGTTTAATGCCACTCAGCGGGTGTTGCATTGCTTCAGTCCAAAAGAACTTAAATAAAAATCGCCCATCCATAAAAAAAAGTGTCTCACACGGCTCCGGGGGGTGAACAAAGGCCTTCTGTAGCGAATCGATGCATTTTTGTAAGAAAAATATCCATATTCAAAACGTAATAATCACTTGAATCTAGCTTGTGCTCACTGTTGTAAACGGAAGCAGTTCCGGGCGGATGACGTATGAGGTCTGTGTTGTGCATGCGCCGCTCAGAAGTGACGCACGCGGAAATGCAGCTGAGAGATCAAAACAAAACAACGGTCAAGAATTAGAAGTACAAAACGAGGATTTGTAAAGAAGAATGTTGGAGGATTTCGATATAAGCCAAGATCAAAGACCATTTTTTATATAACTCCGACTGGATTCGTCTGAAAGAAGAAAGTCATATACACCTAGGATGCCTCGGGGGTGAGTAAAACACAGCCTAATTTTCATTTTTGGGTGAACTAACCCTTTAAGGGCTCCCGGCTGTTTTCCGTCAAAATATGTTTGATGGTTAAATGTTTGCTAAATTGTGCAGGCCATTTACATTGCAGAATTATTATTATAATTTTTTCCCCTCCCACATCGTGCAGCCCTACATTAATCAAACTCAAGTTTACAGTAACACTTTAGTTTAGGGACCAATTCTCACTATTAACTAGCTGCTTATTAGCATGCCTATTATTAACATATTGGCTATTAGTACTTATAAAGCACAACCATATTCTACATCCCTAATCCTACCCAATACCTAAACTTAACAACTACCTTATTAACAATTAATAAGCAGCAAATTAGGAGTTTGAGGCAGAAGTCATAGTTAATAGTTTGTTAATTGCAAGAATTGGACCTTAAAATAAAGTGTGGCCATGTTTGAATCCTAGAAACAGACTGAATCTGACAACTCCATTCCTATAGGAAATGATGCAGCTGTATAGGTGTTAGGGGTGTTGAGATTGTATATACGATGTATCGCGACGTGGACGATTCTGTATCGATGCAGTAATAGACCATAATCGATTATAGCGGTTAAATGCACTTACATCTCCGAATACTTTTATGGTGTGAAATTGATGTAAACACAGTTATGTTTTCAGAACAGGACAAAACTGCCACTGTCTATGATCTCCTCAGTAATAATCAAACAGCAATAATGCTGAGGAAAAAAGAAAAATCTATAACTATGACTGTCTGTAAACTTTCGGATACTGAAAGTACTTTTTGTTTATCACTTGTAATTGTACCCCCCCCCCCCCCCCCCCCCCCTCCCTTTTTGTGAGATAAAGTTAATCATCTGCCATACGCTCACACACAGAGACGGAGCGATCAGTGGACTCTAACCGTGGCAGATCACGTCTTGAGCTATGTGGGTCATTGGTATTCATGTCCTCTCCTGGCCTTCCCTACACTCTCGTATTCACTTGGCCTTGAGGGCAAGCCCAGCCGACAGGTTTCCTCAGCAACAATGCCTACTGCCAACGTGAGGAACCAGTAACCTCATTCCCATGATCTAATTCACTATAATCCTGTAAACAAAAAGGGTGGTGGTACTGTATTATCCAAGCTACCCTGTCGGTCACACAGGAGTTCTTTATCACGTCATAACAGATCATTTAGAGACGGTTAAGAGTAATTACTCATGTTGGGGTGGAACGTGTATTTTACTTTATGCCAATAGTAAGGTCTACTAATTTTGCCACTTTGGCAATACATAAAACAGAATACAATTTGGATTTAAAGGAACACTCCACTTTGTTTTTTTGTTTTTAATTTTCCAACTCCACTAGAGTTAAACGGGTGAGTTTTACCGTTTTCGAATCCATTCAGCCGATCTCCGGGTCTGGCGGTAGCACTTTTAGCTGTAGCTTAGCATAGATCATTGAATCTGATTAGACCGTTAGCATCTCGCTCAAAAATGACTAAAGAGTTTCTATATTTTTCCTATTTAAAACTTGACTCTTCTGTAATTACATCGTGTACTAAGACAGCCATATCGGCCTAGAAAATCGCATCTTTTAATTTTCCGTCGTTCTTGGTACACGATGTAACTACAGAAGAGTCAAGTTTTAAATAGGAAAAATATAGAAACTCTTTGGTCATTGTTGAGCGAGATGCTAACGGTCTAATCGGATTCAATGATCTATGCTAAGCTACAGTTAAAAGTGCTACCGCCAGACCCGGAGATCAGCTGAATGGATTCGAAAACGGTAAAACTCAACTGTTTAACTCTATAGGGGAGTTGGAAAATGAGCCCATTTTCAAAAATAGTGGCGTGTTCCTTTAAGGGAATTTGCCAAACCAATCAAAATAAAAGCACATGTGAGACATACATTTTTTTTTTCCTTTTTTAATCATTCACAGCATCTGTATTTAGTTTACAACTTTTATATAAAATTAAACATTTACAAAGTTCCAGCAATTTTATACTTCATGTCACGGGTAGTTTTGGAGGTAGCAGGTCTGAAGAAACTGAGGTAGCGAGTTGTGGATTCTGTGTGTGGCTGACACATTTCACTGTACATGTGTGATTTCCTGATTTCAGGGTTCAAAATGTAAAAAAAAAGTTAGCGACACTGATTACACAACCAGTGTCATTCTTTCACTTCCAGCGATTAATCCGACGCAGCTGCACATACGCAAGAATCAGACACACGCACATAATGCCTGTCAGAGCTACCTGGTTCTGCCAAAAGCCCCAAGTGCTGTGGTCGATCTCTTGATGATCCAGGTACATGTCACCTCTCACACTGCTAGTAAGAGAGAGAGTTTGCAGTTGAAACACATTACCCACATCACCTCCTAGAGACTAAACTCTGTTGTTAGTTCTGTTTTTCCAGTAGGTGGCGCCACCGAGTGTGAGTGAGTCTTACCTGGTGTAGTTACTGGTAAAGACTTGATCTTTTAGTTCATTGATGGCAAGTGCCTGAAGAGAGACACTTTGGTTGGATTACTGCTGAAATGCAAACAAAAAGACTGTCTTGATTGGATTGTAATGGGTTTTATGCTCTTACATTGTAGCCATATCGGAATATACTGGCCCACTTCAGCCAGGACATCCAGCTCAGCATTGAATTCAGGTTAACTAGGAAACCTCCAAACACCTGGGAACACACAGGACAGGAAAACCTGTGAGATTAAATCATGCTATGTCCCAAAAATACACATGACCTTCATCTCATTAAAGGGATAGCTCACCCAAAAATGAGAATTCTGTCATTAATTCCCCACCCTCATGTCGTTCCAAACTTGTAACACTTTCGTTCATCAAGTGCCTGAAGAGAGACACTTTGGTTGGATTACTGCTGAAATGCAAACAAAAAGACTGTCTTGATGTCTTGACTTTATTCGACAATAAAGTATTCTTGTAGCTTCATAAAATTACGGTTGAACCACTGATGTCACGTGGACTATTTTAACGTTGTCTTTACTACCTTTCTGGGCCTTGAACGTGTCAGTTGTGTTGCTGTCTATGCAGCATCAGAAAGCTCTCGGACATGCTATGTCCCAAAAATACACATGACCTTCATCTCATTAAAGGGATAGCTCACCCAAAAATGAGAATTCTGTCATTAATTCCCCACCCTCATGTCGTTCCAAACTTGTAACACTTTCGTTCATCTTCAGAACACAAATTAAGATATTTCTGATGAAATCCGAGAGCTTTCTGACTCTGATAAGACAGCAACACAACTGTCACGTTCAAAGCCCAGAAAGGTAGTAAGGACATCGGTAAAACAGTCCATGTGAGAGCAGTGGTTCAACCGTAATGTCATGAAGCTACGAGAATACTTTTTGTGCGCAAAGAAAACAAAAAAAACGACTTTATTCGACAATAAAGTATTCTTGTAGCTTCATAAAATTACGGTTGAACCACTGATGTCACATGGACTATTTTAACGTTGTCTTTACTACCTTTCTGGGCCTTGAACGTGGTAGTTCCCTTGATGTCTATGCAGCGTCAGAAAGCTCTCGGATTTCATCAGAAATATCTTAATTTGTGTTCTGAAGATGAACGAAAGTGTTACAAGTTTGCAACGACATGAGGGTGAGGAATTAATGACAGAATTTTCATTTTTGGGTGAACTATGCCTTTAATTGCTGTTTACCTCATACAACTGGAATCCAAGGTCATGTTAACAGCTGGTGCGTTTGAAGCGTTTATTTTTGAACCTGGCATGTCTCCATTAGTTCGGTTTGTTTAGACATATACAATTGCAGTGCATTAAAATAATCAGAATTTTTAAAATAAAGATTTTTTGTATAATCTATAATTTTGGAACGTTTTGAAATGTTAAAAAAACAGCGAACCGAAGCAATTAGAAAAAGCAACAATCTACATGTCTGTAAATCTATTGTGTTCGGCTAAACTCACCATCATTAAGACATAAGGCAGCGCGATGAGGATGTTAGCCATGGCGAAGGAGCCCACGCTGGCACTGACCAGGAAGGCCAAGCTCACCGCTGACAGACTGACCATACTCATGGTCAAACAGTACAGGAAGAAGGCCTCCACGTCAGGCTTCAGACCTGAGATGAAGCTCAATAAAACAGTGTAATGTTATAGGTACAGCAAAAACAACAAAGCAAAGGGCTGTAAACCCTTATTAGTGTGATTTATGTTTATATGTGTCATTTGTGACACAATAACAATGAGCAGCTGCCACCTAATTTTTTTCATTCTGGCCACTTTTGTCAATATGGACAGTACCGAAATGGCAACACCCAGTGACCCTCGTTCACTTTTCCTTACAT